AAGGGTAGTACCCGGCGGCCAGGATGGGCACGTCAGGCGTCGCAAAGATACCGTCAATCGGATACCCACGGAGGTTTCGCTGGTAAGTGGCCTGATGGGACCCTGGATGTTTGGACTGGATCGCCTCGATCAGTCCCACTTCGCTCATCCGAAAACGGAAAGACTTTGGGGAGTAGGAGGACAAGTCATCATTGGCATCGATGCCCAAGATGATGGAACAACCGTCGTCGCGCCAGGTGTTGATTGCCGTCGAGAGGTCCTTGATGAAAGCTTCCCTGGGTTCAGCGTCGCGGTGGGTGCGGCTGAAATGGGCCTTGTGTTGGAACCACACGGTTTGATGCCCGTCGTTGGGTGGGTTTGGTCGGTAGGCAGAGATGACCACCAAGTCGCGCTGGCCAACGCCTCGTGTTCGGCCATGAAGTCGGATCCAAGCCCATCGCCCCAAGCTATCGTCGCCACTGGACCGGACTCGATGGGAGACTTCGTTGAAGGCAGAAGTAGAACAGCCCCCAAATTGGGTGGTCGAATGGGCAGTCCGTGGTTGATGGGTGTTGTAGGCCACCGCCGAGTGGGAACCTTCGCCCTTCCGAGCCATAGTACTGGCGCGTTCACGCCATCGGTTGGTTGGTGTAATTGCTGGCCAGAATTTATTCAATTCAGCCAGAAGTAAAAAGTCCACACGTTCGCTTCGAATCCAGTGGTTCAGCTGTGCTTGTTTAGGGTCGTCCGACGCATCAGGAATAGTGTTAATATTCTGGAAGGCGAGTCGGGCGGACCCCGGTGCACGCACGAGATGGTTGTCACCAAAACCATCTCCTGGAAGGAAGGAACTTAAAAGGGAATCAAGAGAGGTGTGTGGAGCCGCTCTTGACCGGTTGCTGTAGATAAACGATCCATGCCTGTTACGCCGCAACCGAGCGGCAGGCGATCTTTTGTTTATCATGGACCCGTCGTGGGGGTACTGATACCCCCACGACCGGTGTCCATAGGAGAGGACGCATTGGGTTGGTCCTCCCCATCTTCTCCGTCCGTGTCTTGAGCCATCGCTGGTGAAGCAATGGTACGGGCCGAGGGACTGAGTAGTGTAGTAGTGCTGATGCGTGTTTGGCCCGGTGGACCGGTAGGAACGTCCACTGTAAGCATAGGAATGGGCCTAACGTCTGTAGCCAACTCTGACATAGCAGCAGCTGCCTCGTGGGCGGCCTTCATTGCCTCCAATTCGTCACGAACGGACTGTAGGTCCCGGTTCAAACTGTTCCTCTCGTCAGTGATAGTCTCGATGGTCTGAAGAGCGGTCTGGAGTTGGGCCTGGTTTTTGTTCCAGTCGTCGAGGTAACCAATTACGGATAGGCCATCGTCCACGTCCCGAACATGTTTGGCGTGGATGTCGATCCATCTTCCTCGGCTGGTAAGATCATGACAAATAGAGGGCTTGGACTGTCGTTGGTGAGGTCCATCTTTGCTAGCCTGTCGATCCAGGCATCGTCGTCCTCGGGAGACGTGGGTGCAGTGAGGAGCGAGGTTTTCGTCTCCTCCACAGGCTTTGGAGTGGAGGCAACCAAAGACTTTTTGATGATTGTGGTCCACTCAAAGGTTGGGGGGCCATCATCATCATCGTCGTCACCGCACGACTCGCTATCACTCAGCACCTCTATGGCCTTGGCAGGGGGCTTCTTGGGTTCGGCGTCCTCCGCCTTCTTGGCCTGGGCGCCCGTGACAATGACGGCAATAAGGAATCGCAGGAGGGTGAGCTTCCCAAAGTTCTCAGTGACAGCAGAAGTCAGCATGCCCGGGAGTTCGATGGGAATCCGGTAGGTGGCAGTCAAAACCCGCGTCGCCCGAGTCCTTTCCCGCATGGCTTCGATCACGGAGTGGAGCTGTGGGCACTGTTTGCCAAGGACCAATTCGTCCTTCGCCGCCTGCCAATCTCTGGTGTAATGGAAACCTGGATAGGGGTCGGGAAGACGCCCGCCCGAGGCTCACTGGACAAGACAGAGCGAAGTTCTTGCATGAGGATGGGAGGGGCAGTGTCCATACCGAACCGCATGCGAGTCTTGTAGGTCTTCGACCCAGTCTTCCCAGGTTTGTTGAGGATGTACGGGTTGCCGAAGTTGGGGTCGAGGTAGATCTTCAGGTGGGCCCAATCCTTGGCCTTTTCGTCAAACTCCTTCAAGTTCCGGATCCACAGTTGTTGTCGGGTAAAGCGACCGTCAGCAAAGGGCAGGAGGACGACCGTGGAAGTGATCTCGCCCCAAATACCGGAAGCAAACTGATGGAAGGCATTGTAGGCGGTCTGGACTTGATTGAACTCGGACAAACCGACGCCCTGCCAATCAAAGACAATCGACACGTTGAAGATGGTAATATGCCGGAAGGGGGAGGCATTCCAAGTGACAGCGAGAAGGCGCGTCAATCGTTCGTCAGTGGTGAGGGGTACCGTGGAAGCGGGGGGAGAGGCAGCAGCGTCCCTGTAGGTCGGGGCGCTATTGTGGTCCTCTGCTCCATGTTCCTCACTGGTACGCACACACGGTTTGCTGGCTTCCACGACGGCGTCAGTTGGAGCACTGGCTTCCTGTGTTCCGGTTGGGGTGCTGGCGATGACGTGGACGGCGTCAGACAGGATCACTTGTTGGCGAGGAGGAGTGGCATCAGAAGGTGGAGTTCGTTGGAAGGGTTAGGACCGACCCTTCGGTGCCGGGTCGGTTTGCATCGGGACAGCGGGAGACGGCCGCGAATCGTTGGCCTTCGCACCTTTTGGGTTCTCTGGAGTAGATGCAGGGCGCTTCTTAGACTTGGACTGAGCCTTGGATATTTTTGACTCCCTTTCTAGTCGCTCGAATTCCTCCACAATGGGAGGAAGAATGGCCGGGCCTGTCCAAGGATGAGCAAAGAATTCGGATGCCGCTAGCCACATCCAAGTCAACGGCTCGGCGCGTTGAACAATTAATGTTGGGTCGAACACGAGCGCGAATTCCCAAAAGCGAGGCAACTTTTCGTCAGTTTTAATAACGCGTTGGGCCGCAGCGAGATCAAACACAACCGTGGGGCACTGTGTCGCGAGGCGAAGAAAGTACTCGCGAAGAGACCAGGAAGCTTTGTCGTTGTCGGCGTCTTCGAGGTCGCCAAGAGAAAACAGATTCTGCATGCTGGACCGAAGCTGGGGCATAGAACCACCAAGTGATGGGTCGTACACCTTCAAGCCAGACAGGATTAACGCAGCGATCTCGTCGTAAGAGTGAGCATCGGCTTGGTCCGTACTGGCTTCAGCCCACCAGCCGGGGCATTTGGATATTGCATGACCAAAGTGTTCCGCGGTGCGAGAGGACCAGGTGATAAATGCTTGGTTCCCAAAAACCTCCTGCCTCCAAGCCTTCTTGTAGAGCCGGTGAAACTTGGACACCCTGAGTTTCTTGGTGTACGCGACAAGCGGTCGTCCTTGCACTGCGCCATCCTCGGCGGTTTTGGAAGGAGGGGTTTGCTTGCGTTGGCTCTTGGAAAGCATGGTGTCAGGATTATCCTCGGTGAAATCGGTCGACGAAGGAGTGGTAGAGTTTGATCGAGCTTTGGCCATGGAGCCATCCTGGCCTTGGGCAACGTCAGATGGGAAGAGCGAACGGCCTTTCATTGCGCCATCCTCGGCGGTTTTTGAAGGGTATCGCTTGCTGCGGCGCTGGGAAGTTGTGATGGCAGGGTTGTCCTTGGTAAGAGCAATCGACGATTGAGTGGTCGAATTTGATCGGGTTTTTTCCTCGAGACCTCCCTGACCTTGGTCAGCTACAGTCATGATCGAATTCGGGTCCTTCTCCGGCGGGTTGGTGATGCTATCCTTCATGTTGGCTTAAATTTAATTCCTGTTTCAACAACAACAACTGTTTTCCTTTACGTACGAAACGCGTAGGACTGGTACAGTTTTGTTTTGGAGAAGCGTGTGGAAGAATATTTTCTACCTTTTAGTTTTTGATTTTTGATTTCTGAATTTTATGGGGGACGTCCAAAGGGCATCAGTCGACCTCCACCCACGGACAGCCTATGCCACTGTCACAGGCACAGCCCCGGTCGATCCACCAGCTCCGGGGACTTTGCCATCCTCGATCCTTCACATCTGGCGGGATTTGGCAGCTGACATGGCCGACGAGTGGGGCTGGGTCCCGGAATACCTCTACATTGAGGGTGATGAACACGTCCTCTTGGAGGCGCTGGAGAAGGAAAAGCTATGAGTGATCAGCGATGGCTCCTTCAAGCAACAAGTGGGCACCGCCGCAGTCCAGCTACGGACTAGACGCGGAGGGCACGTCGTCTTGGTCTCTTTGGAACTTGGGAAAGGTTCAGCCCTGACATTGTAGCTTGCGCATACGTTTGCCCAGATTGAGTGACTTTTGCTACTTGAGGCGTTTCAGGCTCAAATACAATCTCTTTTTCTGGTGGCTCTTGTAGGTCCTCCAGATCAGTAAGGAGGCTTCCAATATCATCGGTTCCTCTATCGACATTTTCTTGATGGTGATCCAAATTGGCCACAATAGGTTCTTCCTCTTCATCGCCTTCATCACCCGAATCGTCGTCTGATTCATAGTCATCATCTCCTTGGAATCTGACAGTGAGTTCTGGCATATCATCGACATCATTGTCTGCATCTGCC